TGCCCCTTCACTGTGCCCTCTGTCAAAGGCCCAGTCTGCGTGGCACGTGGTGGAGGCAGCTCCAAGGGGAGAGGAGGCCGCTGGGAGCCTGTGGAGAGGCTGCTGGCTGCATCCACGGCATCCCACACACTCACCACAGAGCCCAGGCGGAGGGGGTCCAGCTTTGGGAGGCGGCGGTGTCTATCTTCTGAGCCTGGGTCCACCTGCCACCGCCGGCTTCTTCGACCTCTCTCTAGCGAGCCAGGTGGCCCTACACCTTGTTGCCAGGGGCTGGTGTCCTGTTCTGCTGTGTGGACCAGGGCCTGGTGAGCTGGCACCTTGGCTTGAACACCTCCTGCCTCCACTTGCCCTTCAGTCTCTCTGCCAGGACTCCGAGGGGTGAAGTGTATCAGGAGGGGGCCGGATGTCCCCCCTACTTTGCTCCAACCCAGGAAGGCAGTATCTGGCCTGAGAGGCTCCCTTCCTTTACCTCGCAGGGCTTCCGGAGTGGCACTGTCGTGCTGCCGTCCCAAGGCCCCTCCACTGGCCACCTCGCCGGGTGTCTTGAGTGGAGGTGCCGCTGTGGCAGCCAGGCCACCTCCCCGGAGCTCCTGATCTTGGGCCCCTGCTGCAGCTGGACTCCCCTGGCCACGTCCTGGAGGGTCTGGCTGCCCCTGCCCTGAGCTGTGTCCCTCGACACCACCACTGACCTTGGGCTGCAGGGGCAGGGCTGGGCTGGCTCCTCCAGCCTGTAAAGGCTGGGCCCCGGGGGTTGTGGATGCAGGTCCTGCCGCTTCCTGGTCCTGCCCAGAGCCAAACCAGTGCAAAGCCAGTGCCGTGGCAGCCACCACAGCCAGCGCCAGCAGGGTGAGGACAGCGCTGTCCCAGTCATCCTCCCCATCCCAGCCCCAGCCGGGGCCATCAGGCTCCAAGGCCCCCTGGACCATGGTGCGGGGCTGCAGACTCAGCGTGAGGAGCTGGGTCGCAGGCTGGAAGCTTGGAGTGCTGCCTGCAAGTCTGTCCCACACTCGGGCCTGGACTGCTGTCTGCACAGGCATCAACAATGCGCCCCGCCCACAGGGCTGCCCAGTTAAGGTGGACCTGTGCTGGGGGACAGTCTCTCTGCCTGGCCTGGGGGGGGGGTGTCTCTTCGCCCACACCCGGATTGGGGGTTTGTCTAGGTGGAGCTGTCAGGAGACAACATAATGCACAAGAGCTCCAGGAGCTCAGGGCCTCTGCAGGCAAACCCGCCCCTTCTCCTTTTTCCACAGGTTCCAGTGGCGAGTGACATCGTTCCTCAAAGCTGTTCCGGTATCCCAGACCTTCACAGACCCTCACAGCCCCCCAGATCTCCACCCTATTGTTCCAACTCTCAGCCTGTGTCCAGCCTCAGAGGCTCTGTTAGGGAAGAGCATAGTGAGATGCTATCTGTAGCTCTAGCAACATGATGCAGCCCTGATGAAATTACCAGAAACCCAAGAAGACGATTCCACTGTGGGCCAGTGGGGGAGGGGTGGGCGGGCACATACTCCATGGTGCCAACCCTGCAGGCTGGCCTCTGAGAGAGACCATGGAGGGCATGGTGTCCTGACAGGAAGCTCTGCCTTAGAAAGTGCAACCTCCTGTCACCTCAGGTGTGAAGTAGAGATTTGCACTATTGTCTCCCAGGATGTATAGGGGTGCGTGAGAGGGGCCAAGGCTGAAGGCCCCACCTCCCCTCCTCCGGCAGCCTCTGGACCTCCCTTACCCTGAGTTCAGCAGAGATGGAATAGTTTTCCAAAGGAATTTTCTAAGCTGTCAAGAGGGGGGAAAAATGAACAAAATAAAGAAAATCCAAAAGTTGTACTTTTCTCTTTATTAGCCTGTCTTATTAGAAACCCACCTGCCCTTTCTAGAGCCTCCTAGGCCTCCCCCTGCACCCTGTGGGCCATCTTGACTGCTCCAACACCTCTCTCCTGGTGCCCCCACAGAACCCTAAGCTCAGCCTGCTGTTACCCCTGGTACATCATCATCCAGCCACCAGGATCACTCAGAGACCCTCGTCTGAACCCAGGTACTCTATCAACCTGATTTCTGGGTGTCCCATCTCATTCCTTGGCCTTCCGTCATCTTCGCCAAATCACTCCGCCCCAGCCTCTTCACTGAAACTCAGCCCCCTCAGGCATGTGCCTGGCCTCCTTCAGTTTGGTTTCTCAGCTAAGGAGCCATGTCTCCTCCGTCTGCTTCACACTTAAGCTGATCTCAGGAATAAGTCTTGGGACAGGTAGAACACAGATATGAATAAGAGCCAGGAGCCTCTGGGACAAAGGCAGGGCCCTCATAACATGTACTTGTTCCTTCTTCCAGGACACAGGACTTCTCCCTCAGGCAGTGAGATGGCCAAGGAGCATCCCTGGCACCCAGCCTGCGCTCTGCTAGAACTCAGGTACCTCACCCATCTGATCGCTTCCCAGCTCCCCTGAGCATATTAGATGACAGTAAGAGGGTGGAAGGTGTGCCCATGCCTTAAGGTGGACCTCAGTTTGGTGTCAGGCTTTATGGGCACTGCCCTTATTCCTGTCCCAGTCCTAGGCTCTACCTCTTGGTTGTTTGGGGTCCAGAGACCTAGAAAGAATGGAGATGGAATACCCACCTGCACCTTACAGGCCACAGCACCTCATCAGGCCTTTCTGCCTAGCTTCTGAAGACACCCGTTGTTAGTCAGGGCCCCAGGCTGCTGTCAGAGAACAGAAGTGTCCACCAAGTGATACCTTAGGGTGCCATGGTGGGGAGGAACCAGCACAGAAAATCATCCCAATCAGTTTCACAAGGTGTCAAGGACCATGATGGGTCTTGGTGGCACACAGGTGACCAAGGAAGGGTCTGGTCCCATCCTCTGCGAAAAGAAAACACCTCCCTTTGTCAAAATCCAGGTGGAAGGCAAAACTCTGTGGCATGGAGAAACTCCCTGTTGGGAAGGTGACTGAGGAAATGTTCCCTCCCTAAGTTGTGGGAGATTTGCCCTCCTAACTTCCCAGAGAGAGTAAAAATGTAGTACCACCGGAAAGGTGACAGAACATGAAGTCACCTACACAAATTGTGAAATGAAAGTAATTGTTATAGTTGTACTATGAGACAGAGTAAGTATCAAAATTACCATCAAGGTAAAAAGCAAACATGAACAAAGTAGATCCCTAGAAGGTCTGACCTTTAGTGGCCTCCTGTTGAGGCAGAAACCCTTCTCCAATCTACAAAAGGAAGAGAGACGGCTTCATGCCTGGTACGTGAAGCTTGTTTCCTCAGACAGTACAAAACGGGAATGGAAGGGTCTCCTTCCTATCAGCTGTCACCACCATCCGTGCACTGGGCGCCTGGGAGCAGAAAATGCATCCACATATGAGCTGATCCACTGTAGCTGCTCATAGAAAACCCCAGCACTGCCTGGTCACTGAGCCTGAACAAAGCTGGACAGTGCCCTGGCCACCAGGGTGCCCTTTGTAAAACATTTAGTGGAAGAAAAGCACAGTGACATGATGACATAACTCCAAATGGAGAATACACGAGATGGTGGAGAGCAGCAAACCTCACCAAATGTAGGGTTTCTCTATCATTGGAATTTTGTAAAAGTAGGAAATATTTATCATCAGAAATGATATAAAAGAGAATACAACATTATATAATATTTATAAGTTAAAAGTATACATGTATTTTTATGTATGTATAAATAAACGTAGAATAAGTTTTAAGGCTTAGAAAATATAAATCCCAGATTTAGGGGTGCCTGGGTAGTTCAGCATCTGAACTAACAGCTAGTCGGTTAAGCATCTGACTCTTAGTTTCAGCTTGGGTCATGATCTCGCAGTTCATGGGTTTGAGCCCCACGATGGGCTCCGTGCTGTCAGCATGGAGCCTTCTGGCATTCTCTTTGTCTCTCTCTCTCTGTCTCTCTCTCTCTCCCCCTCCTCTGCTCTCTCTGTCACTCAAAGTAAATAACTTAAAAAAAATTTTTAAATAAAA